AAAAAAAAAAAAAAAAAAAAAAAAAAAAAAAAAAAAAAAAAAAAAAAAAACTCACAGACAAAAAGAAAAGAAAGTGGTTCACGAGGCATGGCCGCGGTGTGTACAGGAAGTGGCAGGCGGGGAATTCAATTCCCGACCAGGGAATCGAGGCAGCTGTGTGCGCCCGTATATACATGCGAGTCTTCGCATGTGCGTGGCTGCAAAACAGCTGGACGGAAGAAAGAGAGAGGGAGAAAAATACCAGAAGCGTGTGTTTACGAAACCTTTTTACGTTTCTGTCACCCAGTGCCCAGCGTCCGAAAAACATTGCGCTTGAGCCGCTATCGTCTCATTTTATATACTACTTTACAGTTTTTTTTTTTTTTTTTTTTTTTTTTTTTATCGAAAAAGGACACGACTTCTACGTGCTGCTTTTTTTTACACACTTACTCTTTTTTTAGCAGTGAAAAAAAGGGCGAGGGGTGGGTTCGTAAATTTTTATCGTGGTCACGCTTTGATTTATATGACGAGCCGTCACGACCAAGCGGAACCGAAAATACTCTTTTGAGGAGATTGAATGTTCACGTGCCCGCATCACAGGGGAAAAAGGGATACGGTACGCGATGGAAGTCGTATTATTTCGAGATCGAAATTTTTCTGGCCCCAATACCACCGCTTGTTTATTTTCCCGTAATAAAAGTGCCACTGCTCTAAACTTATCATTTTTCAATTTTTCGTTGATTGTTTTGTTTAGCTAGCAATGTAGTTGTTAATTTTTTTTTTTTTCAATTACATGATGATATATTGTAGCTTTGGTATCTTACAAAAGTGCAAAAATTTGAACTTGATACTTACGTGTAATGTAACGGCAAATGCAGAAACTTTCAATTGGTTTCAACTTGTTTAATGGTGTACTTGCCGTTCGTTGCACTTGCAGAAGCCAAAATATAACATTTTGTGAGCAAACGTGTTTGTACGCTGGGAAATTTTACATTAAATTTTATTCAAACGTTATAATTTTATTTGCATCAATACCTAATTTGAAAAAACTATTCAACTAATTGGTGCCGTAGTATAATTTTTGCTTAATTTGCTCATGATGTTATAAGATTTTAATTAGTCGGCTTCGACAGGTTTCTCAGCATACCAACGAATAACAAAGCTTTGAAAAAGTTTTTAAAA